TTATTATTAATTATTATTATGATAATGATGATGATGATGATGACAAACCAAATTAGTCACTTTTGGTGCTATACAGTTCAAGTGAATGAGATTAATAAAGTGAATAAAATAAAGTGGTATAAAAAATTACAGGTGTGCCGTTTGCTGTTGTTATTAGTTGGACCATTATTCATCAGAAACGTTCGAGTCAGAATCAAAATTCATTTTGTTGGTTGCCATATGCAAAAGGCGCTCATCTGTGGATATTATCAGCAACAATGGGCTTAGCATTAATTGTTCGTTCTTATTTAAAACTATTTAAATATTTCATAATCACTCTAATTCACTTTTTAACTCTTATTAGCTTCTTTTCAGCTGAATTTATTGTTCTTGTTGGGTATTGTTCTCATATTGGTGCAAAAATTGCGCGCCGAAAATACTGCCGAATCGAAGAAAATATGGTTATTCTTAAAATAATTCATATTTGATATCTTATCAAGTTAAACCGAAATTGTATTCGGGATTCTACGAATTTTACTACTCGAGATAATGAATAGTATTTCTTGTTGGAAATTAACAGTCAACTTGTGAACATCTTTTAAACCATGGAATTTTCTACCCGTTCCTTTATCATTTTTAATACCAATTATTTATTCTTCATGCTCATTGGCACTTATTTTATCATAAGAATAATGTGGCTTATCACTTCATTTGATTAATTTATTTAGTCGAAAATCAAATTTCACGTATTGTTTCAATGTAACAAATTAAGGATTTTTTAGGAAACTTATTAAGCTTAGTTGACAATTCTTTTAATATTTCATTTAAGGAGGACGGTGAAGTCGACACTTTTACTGGTGCCACTTCTAGGTGTTTCCAATATACCTTTATTCTACGAGCCATCACAACCCAGCAGTATATATATGCTTGGTTCCGCTATTCTACAGCATTCTCAGGTTTTTCAAATAGCTTGTTAAATTAATAACATGACCGATCCACAGTTATCCCACCCGAGCATTTATTCATTCGAAATCCTTATTAATTAAATTATAATTAAGAACCGGTTTAGTCAAATTTTGCATATTAGTATTTTTTTCCTATTATTTTATATTTGAAAATTTAAGGGTATATTTATTGCTGTATTGTACTGCTTTTTGAATGGTGAAGTGCAAAATGCGGTGAAACGGCAATTATTAAGGCTGAAAATGCATATTTTAAGATATTCAGTCACAAACAAGTTAGTAATTTTCACCATTTTAGTAGTCGGAAATGATTTGTGAATCGTATAGTTTAACTAAGTAACTGATTGTAATTGCTATAATAAATTGTGATGGATTATCGATTTTCAGCGAGCAACCGCGTCTTGAAATAGAACGAAGCTATATTCCAGATGAAATAAATGAATTGGATAGTAATTTGAGCATACCAATGGAAAAGTTGAATAATGCGGATGTTTCGATCATTAAAAGGTGTGTTCAGGAAATTGATCAAATAATCTAATTATAACATAAAACTGTTATTTCACCGTTGTTGTTGTTGTTGTTGTTGCTGTTGTTATTGGTAAACAATGCAAACGATATATATTGGAGATAAGTTGTCAGATCAATGCAACAATCAAATAATAATTTAAATAAAAATTTAAAAAATTTGGAATCTTAAAACTATTTATCAAAGATTTTTGATATCATATTTGCCCGATGAACTTTAGCCTAATATTTTGATTTTAATTTCAACATAATCTGCTAATTACAGTTAATGAAAGAAACTGACTAAACACTTTTAGCAAATTTTATGATACCTGCTTTCAAAAAAAAAGTCAATCTGAAGCGACGATATTCGAACTCAACAAGATTTTTTGAATCTAAACGATGAAAGAAAGTTCTGCCACAAATATTCATAATAACTATAGTTATGTTGCATGAAACTATATTTTATTTGCTATTTAATAATTTCAATGAAATAAATGTGTGATTTTACTAAAATATTTGTTAGCAATAAATTATCATTTCTTCGGATAATTATTCTTTAAAAACTAAGAATGATGATATTATCCTAATTCATCATCACCTTTCATGAAGCAAAATGTAGTTTTTGAAGGTAAGTATTTTAAGAAAAGAAATTGAGATATTGAAGTTGGAACTTTACATTAATCAATGTGTACACATAGATCAATATGTGTCACAACACTGCTGGAAGAGAAATTTTTGGAATACGAAAATATAACAAACAAAAAAAAAATTAGTAACACAACAGTACTAAATAAAACTGTAACATATTGTGACGCTTATTTACTCAATGAGTCGACGGCAAATGTCGTGCAAAACAGGAAATGTATAATAAATTCAAATACAGATAATAACAATGTCAATGTAAGTGGAACTGAATTTCGCGACATCTTGACGAAACTAACAATTATTTCCAGTTCTTCAAATTGAAAATTGATTATCTCCGTCATTGTAGCGAATTTTTATTTTGTTAGAAGAGATTTGTAATTTAGCACAGTCGAATAGTAGTGAAGGTTTAATAATTTGATGAATAGCTTTATTCTTCTTGATGTTATAGATCAAAAAATCAAAAAATTATCATCAATTAAGTCGATGATCACTTGATCATTCTTTTTAACCGTTAATTTGGGAGAACACTTTTCGTTGAAACAATAATTCAGATGAATGCAGATGGTAAGATCGCTCCTTTCCAGAGTAATAAGTTATAGTGAAACATGCTCCCATTATCAAGTTCTTGTCGCTCTAGAAAAATTAGCCATTACGTTTGAATTGCAAGTCGGATAAGAGATACTCTTCTAGTCGGATAAGAGATACTCTTCAGATACTCTTCTAGTTTTTAAATGTAATAAGATTGATCAAAAATTTCGTTGCTAACTGTTTATTGCGAACATTGAATTTTCAAATTATTCATTGGAATTTGAAGAAAAAATAAGAATGAATTACTAGTAACTATTATCAATTGGAACATTATTTACAAGTATTACATCGTCCTTGTCATTTGAAAAAAACAACTGCACTATCATATTTCATTCCAAGATTATCAACCTGCAATAATTAAGTAGTACTATTAAGTGGCGATATTTCGGTATTTCTAATAATAATATATCTTGCGCTTAATGTCCATAATAGTCAGCTACAATTACCTTATTTCCTTTTTTCATTTATTCATTATTTATAATGCAGTGAAATAATATGGCTAATTAATAAAGAAAATCAAAATCTTAATAGTGACGGTACTGTTAGATATCCTGCCATGGCTTCTGACATAAATAATAGCAGTAAATTAGTTTCAATTTCACTTCTTAATCTTAATCACTTGTTTCGAAATTATTGTTCATTAGCAATAAAAGTTTAATCAATCTTTTTGATTATGTTCGTACTACTAAATTGGTATCCTCAAGTTTTTCTATGATACCGCGCATAATTTAAAGCTGGTCATTATCTGATAGCAATATCGATTCTAATCAAAAGATGCGATACAATTCAGTTTTTTCAGTTTCGCTTTTTTTTTCACAAATGACGGTCTTTTCTTTTTACAGTTAAACGCAAAGTTGCACGAGTTAACTCTAATTTCTTTTGCCTTACGTTCAATCCGTATCATCTCTTCGGTTAACAATATAATACATAGATTAACACTACATTCATAATTATACTGATTTCATTATACAGTTCTAATGTTTCGTAACTTGTACGACAAAGGAAGTGAATTTCTGTTGCGTTGTTCGATGATCAACGCAAACGAAAGCCTATCCATGGAACTGCTGCTTTAGTCCTATACAGTATGTTTTGGCAAGGACATAAAATGAATTAAGCCCAAATGATGTTTGTAAAGAGGAATTATTTAAAACTGAAAATATCCATAATTTCACTAACGGCAATATGAGAATTGTTGAGATCTTCGCCACTAGCATCAGTGTCCTACAAATGGTTTGGGATGAAAGTCGTATTAATCATATTAACTTATATTAATTCATTCACAGGTATTTTTACACTTATTTTTCTCTTTTTAAATAATAAATTGTAATGAATTCTTTTTCAAAAAAAGAAACCAAAAATAAAGTAAAAATCAAAAAATCTGATTTTCAACAAATATTTGCTTATATTATCACCATTTCCAACAAATATAAACATTTTATATTTACTCTTTAATTGCTAACATTTTTTATGCTTTATGAAAAATTAATTTTCATATTAATTATGCAAGAATTAAAACTCTACACTCATTAACATCCTGTAAACATCTTGTTGTCCAATGTGATCCATGAAATATGCAGTAACAATACGGCTGCGTAATTCTCACTTCTCACGATGTTTTGTTCAACGAATTAAGGTTTTACTATCAACGTGATAATATTTATGATAATATTTAGATCAGTTATATGACAGAAAGATAGAGCGAGGGTGGAATCAGTTTGGAATATAATGATATCTCATTTTTCTGGAAAAAAAAAATGAATTTCTATATAATAAAATAAGACCGATAAGTGAGAAATCAAATACATGCATAGCTATGCTACCTGCAAAAACTGTAATCTTCGTCCATTATACAACTTTCTGAATCAGGAAAGCAGGAACTCCTGAAAAATACCAAAGAAATATTACTTATATAAAGCATCTTATTGAAGGAGCAAAATTTCAACAAATTTCAACTACTTCATTCCTGCATCTTTTTTAATACTCATTTTACAGCCAATTGCGTTTTTTTCTATGAAAATAAAATTTGCTATAAATTATTCACACATATGCATATTTTCAATATCATAATTTTATCCTTCAACTTTTAGAAATTGAAAAAGAAGTAGAAAACAATTTCGTTAATGGACATGAAAGGAATATGACGGAATGATCGCCTACAGAATTCGCATTTAATCCTTGAAAAAATAGGTGTGGCTTGTTAGAATGCTATCGGATCAACAAAATATATTTGCTCAGACCAAGAAACTGAAATAAGTGACGTAAATAGCTAATTCCAATCAAAGGCAATTTATCCTTCAGCAAAATTAGTTTCTATTTGAAAGGAAAAAAAGGAATCCGATAGAGTGTTTTGTTTGTGGTTCCTGATTTTTCAAATTCTTAGGCGAAAATTGTAGGAAAAATTGTTAAGTAAGCTTAGCTTTACTCAATCACACGTCACAAATGCGATTGACGACGAGTCAGCTGTTTGAAACAAAGATCGTTTTATGTGTGAGTTTTTTTATTGTATAACTTGTTTCCACCTTTACAAAATTTCTCAGAATTCCTAGAATTATCATCAATTTATGTGTATGTACTTATTTCGAATTGGCAAATGCTAAGATGTCAAAGGTTCTATCTGGAAACAAAAGAAAATTTTTTTTGAAGTTTTAAAATATGATTTTTACAAACTTCTTATAATCATACTAAATGTTACCACCAATCCATTATTTTATATCACAAGAAATGAATCAAATGATTAATTTTTAACAAATCTTATTATTGTTAAAATCTTTTGTTTTATTTTTCCAATTAATTTTCTTCTATTTTAGAAGCTATGAACTCATAATAAAATTTTTGTGTGTCAATTTCAAAATCAAAATATGTTTTAAATTACTCGATTTTAATGTATTAAATAATGATTCATTTTATTTGATATGCAAAGAGAAAATTAACTGGCGAGAATTGTTGTAATAATCCTTTTGAAATTGAAAAAATTTCTTTGAACGCAAATATTCATCACATGAAAGACTCATCTTCTGAATAACTTCATCGTCTCCTTCTTTTCCATGCCAAAGTACGACACTGGATTGATTGAAGAGATTTAATGATTTTTTCTACACTGGAAGCAATGTAGTGCCATGGTAAGCTTCCTAAATGATATGGGTATGGGAATAGGCTGTAATATGAAGCAACAATTGCACACTGATGAATGAAACCAAAACCTTCAAAGCAACAAATATCTGACCGTTGAAACAAATCATTTCAGAGTTATGTTAAATCCCTCAAAATTTTCTGAAAAATAGAGACATAAACTTCAAAATAAATATTTTGAAGTGGAGAAGTTTAAGGATTTGGGCAAGCCTTCAGCCAATTGTTAAATCATTTTGTTCAAAATTATCAATATTTGACGTGGTAAAATAAAATTGTATGGAGAACTTTCAGAAATTCTCAAGGATGCTTACAGATTTTTTTTTCGAACTCTTAAAAGATTTAGATCAATTGTGGATGTCAGCTAACAAGTTGTGGGGAAAGAATGACGGGATCAAATGATAGCAAAAATTTTCCAAGAGTATTGAAAATGTCAGAAATGCATCAGGCTGTATCGGATTTGAAAAAAAAAGAAGTTGCTGTTCTAATCTTCAAATCATTTATTTCTGGCAAGTTTTTTTCGGAATTACTTTCAACTTGAAATGGAAATATTGAGGAAATTTGAAGACAAACCATTAATGACTTGTTGGTGTAACTTATAGCTCGAGAATGCGTTTCTGAAGAACCGCATGTCGATCTTAAAATATTTGCTTAATGCAGAATTGTAGCAAC